CGAGCCCTTCCCCGATCTCACCGACAGGCAGTTGGGATGAGGAACCCAACCACCACCTCTGAGCTGGTGGAGGCTGTCGAGCTGGCGGATGCGGCCCAACACCGGGATGCTAGGGAGCTAGCGCCGCCGTTTCCCCGGAGGGTGGTCCAGGAGCGGCGCGTGCCGGAGGGCACCCCGCGACCAGTACGCAGGCCGGCGACTCCCTCCCAGCGGGATGAGCCCATGCCAATGGAAGTCGACTAGAGACCAGCTCGCGGCCCTCGCCGTCTCTGACCCCGTGGTTGTTGACGTCAACCCCAACCTCTCGGCTGCCCAGAAGAGGGAGCTGCAGTACCTGGTCGGTCAGTTCTCTGATAACTAACTAACTAAATAAATAAATAAATAAATAAATATATTCACCAATCAAGCATAACATTATGACCTCCTTCCTAATATTGTGTTGGTCCCGCTTTTGCTGCCAAAACAGCCCTGACCCGTCGAGGCATGGACTCCACTAGACTCCTGAAGGTGTGCTGTGGTATCTGGCACCAAGATATTAGCAGCAGATCCTTTAAATCCTGTAAGTTGTGAGATGGGACCTCCATGGATCGGACTTGTTTGTTCAGCAATCCCACAGATTCTCGATTGGATTGAGGTCTGGGAAATTTGGAGGCCAAGTCAACACCTCAAACTCGTTGTTGTGCTCCTCAAACCATTCCTGAACCATTTTTGCTTTGTGGCAGGACGCATTATCCTGCTGAAAGAGGCCACAGCCACCAGAGAATATCGTTTCCATGAAAGGGTGTACATGGTCTGCAACAATGCTTAGGAAGGTGGTACGTGTCAAAGTAACATCCACATGCATGGCAGGACCTCCATGGATCGGACTTGTTTGTTCAGCAATCCCACAGATTCTCGATTGGATTGAGGTCTGGGAAATTTGGAGGCCAAGTCAACACCTCAAACTCGTTGTTGTGCTCCTTAAACCATTCCTGAACCATTTTTGCTTTGTGGCAGGACGCATTATCCTGCTGAAAGAGGCCACAGCCACCAGAGAATATCGTTTCCATGAAAGGGTGTACATGGTCTGCAACAATGCTTAGGAAGGTGGTACGTGTCAAAGTAACATCCACATGCATGGCAGGACCCAAGGTTTCCCAGCAGAACATTGCCCAAAGCATTACACTGCCTCCACCGGCTTGCCTTCTTCCCATAGTGCATCCTGGAGCCATGTGTTCCCCAGGTAAGCCACGCATACGCACCTGGCCATCCATGTGATGTTAAAGAAAACACTCAAATCGTTACGATTGCCCATTTTTCCTGCTCCTATCACATCAACAAAAATTTTCACTTGCTGCCTAATAAATCCCACCCACCAACAGGTGCCATGATGAAGAGATAATCAGTCATAATCAGTGATTCATGATCAGTCATCAGTCATAATATTATGCCTGATCGGTATATATATATATATATATATATATAAAATCTCTCCAAAAATTCTATAATCACTCCCCTATAAATGTCAGACCTACTTGTGTAAATACACAGTAATGTGACATAAATGGCTAACTGCACTTACCTGTACTCTCCAAATTCTCCATCTTTCATTGTGCGGGCCCCAGCATTGACCTGATCCTCCTCTTTATCTTTCACTGAAATGCAAAAAAAAAAAAAGATTGGCAAAT